GCCTGAAAATGGATTAAAGCGCACGCCGTTTGTTACCGCTTTTTACAACGTTTACAGACCGGGCGACGTATGTACGTTGGCAGTCGCTGACAATTCCCGGCGGCCGCCGTGCTTTATTTGGTCCAGCTATTTCACAATGCCGCGCGATACGATATCAAAGTGCAAAAATTTACGAACGCGACAAAGGAGAAGTACCTACCGGAGCTCTGACGGGGTTTCTCGTTTCATATACCTGATACCTGAACGATATGACACGTACATCTCAACAGGACACTTGATACACTGCAAAATTCGTGGGAGAGACATAAAGCATAGTTATTCGAATCCTTTCCGGAACGGAGCCTCGGCGATAGATATCATCGGTGCGCGGAATCGCGAGCGCTACGAGAAAGGCTGGGATATATATCGGATTTAGTTTTTCTTCGCCGGCGAATCGATCAGCTTGAACCCATCTGACCTCGCGAGGACGCAAAGGGTTGAAAGTAGGAGAAGCCGCAGTACGAGGGGGGCGGGGGAGCATGAGGCTGAAAATAAGAAGATATAGATAAAAGAGCTGGGGCTGCACGCTGGCCTAACAAGACTCAGGACTCAGGGGCTATTATCATAATTGTGGGCTGCAGGCAGCGGCTGTGCCCACAAACCAGAATGCCTCTTGTCTCATCTACCTTCGTCCTCGCCTTCTTCTTCTTCTTCTTCTCCTTCTTCCTCATCTTCCTCCGCATTTCTTCCTCCGCGCGCATTTCTTCTTCTTCGCGGCTTTTTACTTAACGTTCGTTCTCTCGCGTTTCGCGCGTCCCTTATACCAGCCTTTTCACATAAGCTAGAGACAAATGAAACGACCTCCATGCTCAACGTCCTTGTTTCACATTTCCATCTAAAATTCTAAATTAAGAAAACGATAAATAATCCACGCGACGCGATTCAATGCGAGGCAATGCAGCCACAAAGAAGTCTTTCGCGATGCAAAACAGGTCATTCGGAGCAATGCCTGTTATAATTAGTAAATGCACATCTCTATTGTGGAAAATATTGTAATTGTGGGTAATATTGTCCAGACACGATCGAGATTAAGTTTTTATACAGCAATATTTTTTTTTAAACGACGCGAGTAACTTAAGTAGTGCTAATAATAAGAAATACGAGCACTCATTCTGATTAATTACATAGGATGCATTATTTAGGTGAAATTACAGACGGTTGGATGCCTCCCGAACGTTCGTTATTAAATTCAACTATGTATGATGTGGGTCCTTCGACGTGGACCACCCTGGGGTGAAACGCAAACAACTCGTTTCTCCCGCTCTTCAAAAAGAAATCAAGTGGAACGCCTCTTCTTCTTTTTTTATCTCGATATTAGTCATGACAGAATACGAGATATCTTTAAAGAGACGAGCATATTTCCTTTTTAAACAAAATTTTAGTACCTTTCCTTGTTGCCGTTATAACAAAACATATGACAACCATGAGATACATAATAATGCTTGTTGCTACGCATCAGGGTGTTCTTCAATGTTTTGCATATGTATAACTACGTGTAACATGGAGTTTTACGAAATCTTGTTTAGTTCCTTAATGCATAATGGAGTCCAATTATCTTCTGCTCGCTCCAATTACTCAAGAGCATTTTTTCGGTTATTTAATTTCTGTTACGTAAATTATGAATCTGCATTCAATCTTAAAAAGACCTTATTATATTATATCATAAATCTTAAAAAGCTTTATCAAATGCTAAATTGAAAAATACGAAAAACTCGATATTAACGAATTTAGACTTTATATATCTGGTGATCTTTTCTTGGGAAGTTATTAAATATGATCAAAATGTGCCAATTTTCATTCTAATTAATTTGCGTAGAGTAATCTTAAATTATGTTTACTCTCTTATTCTTTCTTTTCTTAAATTTAAAATTAACATTTGACTGAATTCTTTAATAAAAACTTAGTATTAACAAAGTACATTATACAATTTCTCTAAATAACCCAGAAAAGTTTATTTATTTTAACTATAAATACAATTGTACCGCGACAAAATACTTGGTCTCGAATTCTCTCAAATTCTCGAGACTTCTCGTCTCCTTTTCAAACCGGAGACGAGAAGTCAGAAGCGACCGGCAGGTGCGCGATAGAATATCTGTTTTCCTTTAAATTATGCGAAATAAGTAAATATACTCCATCCTCAAATTGTTGCACGGTGTGTCGAAAGAGCATTTTTTTCCCATTTGTTTCCCGTGCACTCTTTCAGCGAGAGCTGCCAGGGGCGTGTATGTTTGTTTAGCCTCGGTGTACCCTGTTATTAGGGACTGCTGCCCGTGCCCCTCGAGAACCGTAGGGCCCACGCCGAGATTTGGCCGCCGTGAGCCCGATCGTGCATCCCCCTTTCCGCCCTCTGTCTCATCGTTCCCCCCATCCTCCTTGCTTCATTTCGTGCGTAAAAGAAGTTCTCGAGAAGAGAGGAACGACGCGACGAGATAAATTCGGAAGGGGTCCCTCGGCTCCTAGCAGATTCTTTGCCTCTAGATCTTGATTTAGATTCTACCACGTTTTAATTTATTACGAGCGATGGCGACGATTATACGGAAACGAGTCTTCGGCTCAGGCGAATACGCCAATTTTTGGCCGATACGAGTAAAAAGAGAAGAAAACAAACTAAAGGAACAAAGAGTGAAGCTCATAATAGCGCAATATTAAAGAGGAGATTCAGAATTTTAAGTGCGTTCAGATGCTCACTAAAACAGCAGAGAATTTCTTCGAATTATTTCAGTTCTTCTCCATCTTAACATATGATAATTAAGGCTTTCGATATCTTGAAATATGATTCTTATAAATATAAATGATTCTAAACTTTAATTTTAAACTTATTTAAATACATAACTTACGATTAGCATATGCAATGCTTTCTATGATTACTTAATTTTGTTTTTTTACAGATTAGGATTTCGAAAAACTCGATTTTAAATTTATCTTGCATCTTAGTCAAATTAAATATTTTTTTTATGTTTGAAATATATATAGATGTATATAATAGTGTGTGTGTGTGTTTACAATTATTATACATGTTTCTGTTTACGTCACATTTACGTCAGAATTTACGATCTGCGCACCCGTCGGAAATGAAAAAGAGATTCGTACATTTTTTGCGGGGTGATTCGTGGGATCATCGCGACTCCTCTTTCTCTCGCTGCACAATGCATCCCTGATGACATATCCTGCAGGTTCGCAATTGAATAGTGTTCTGTTTGCGCGGATGGCACGTGACAATGCCCGAAGGCCCGTCTCGCACGCGACCACACCCCGTCGCCGTTATTTGTTTAATTTAAGGGTATTGTTGCGCGCGCGGTGTTTTCGCCGGTCGCCGCTCGATTTATTTCGGCCACGGTCATTTCCCGCATTTTTAACGTGGGAGACACCGCCGGGTGTCATCGCTCGATCTGGACCGTCCGCAATCGCGAACTTTGTGCGACTCGACGACGCGTGCGGTGTCTGTGCGTCGCGATCGATTATTACACCCGGAACTTGTACCGTCCCATTAATGAAACTTTTTACGTGGCTATTTATTAGCGTTCCTTCCCGGCTATAAATAAATACACGCCGCGATGGTTGTACTCACCATCGCCGCATGTATTATGCATGCAATATTACAAAGCGGATGCTCGCTCGCGCGTAAATTATCGTTATACGCCGGTTACGCGGATAACTAAATATTTCTCGCGTCGTTTTTGCATAATTGAATTTTCATAACTGGTTCGCGAGATATCTTTTCTTACCGGCCGATACGTTGATTACGGTAAGAGAACTTTTCACTTCTCTGACGTACATCGCGCGATCTTGCAACGGAGACTGGTACTTGCTGAGAAGTGCGCGACGTTTACTAAAACCTTATTGGTCAAAGACCTTTCGCAGCCAAGGGTCCGTGTAACAAATGGGCCCGACGGGCCCAATGATAATTGAAGAGTGCTACATGACCAATCGTCGATGATTAAGTATCATTATGTTTTAGAACATCACATGCAGTCGCTAACTTCGTACATTATAAAAGTTACAAGTTATAACGTCGCAATAAAAGCGCAATAACGTCAACAAAAAAACGGATTTTTATTTTTCTCTCAAAATTTTTCATTTTTATATACATTCTTTAAATATACGTAAAAAAATAGATACGATATTGAATAATTATAAAATAGCATGACGAACGGATAATTAACGATAATTAACGAGATATGGTTACTCAACCTGAGAAGTAGTAATGACTTATTCACAGATTTCATAACAATTTCCAAAATTAACGCAAGTTATCAATGTGTGTGTCAATCTCAGTCATAATATTTCCAACAAATAAATAAATATACATAACAAATTAATTATATAAATAATATAAAGAACGTACAAAAAACGCATACAAAATATAGGATGTAGCTGTAACCGTTGAGATACAAATGTAGATAATATATGCGTTTGCATCTGAACATTTTGACTGCAAGATCATCGATTGTTCAGGCGATATCATCTTTAGTATGAAATATCTACAAAATTTACTTATTAATCTTTGCTCACACACATACAACGAAGCAATCTTGCACTCAAATCTCTATTTTCTATAATGTTCTTCAATTTATACTGTAGTAAATTTGCATTTTTTATTTTAAAAATATTCTTTTTCTGTTTCCTTTTTCTCTTATTTAAGTGTCATAACAAATAAGTTAGAACATACAAACTCTTATCTTGCGGTCAAAATGTTATCAATATAATTACACATATAATTATAATTATGCTCCTTGTGTATTTATAATGACGCGTTTTAATATAGGTAATAGGTAATAGAGAAAAGAGAGAGAGAGAAAGAGAGAGATCTCCTTAAATTAAATTTTTAATTAATTAAATTAAGTTGGATTAAAGTTGAAATTAAATTTTATTGTCACGGACAATATTCAATTTTTTATATATATTGCATTAAAAATCACAGTTACGAGAAAGAAACAGAGAGGGAGAGAAAAAGAGAAAAATACAACTTTTTAAACATTGCAACTGCGCAATATTTTGATATTGAATGTAAAATAAATATTTACAACAATCTTATTAATTCAAGCGCATTCGCTGTACTCGTTACACAATCGTAACTTGAGTAATCGTGAGCAAAGCCAGCATCCGCATTATCACTGGCAATAAATATTGTGATTTGCAATTCAAGGAATCGCGTACAATGCTGCATCGCAAAAAAATACATTTTCCCCCGAGCATATTCTTTGTAGAGATCCATAGGTCGTTCTTAATTCGAGGCCGGGCAATTTTTCTGATCTGTACGAATGAAGTACGCTCTGCTGATGTTGTTCTTGTCGATAACTTGATAAGCCTTTTCTACGACTGGGATTGGCGGTTTCGGTTCTCGCGTCAAAATCCAAACATTTCGTACACTGCAAACAGAACGCATTTATAATTTCAACAATCTAGCAAAACTCCTCAGTGATCTAGTTTAATATATCTTTAGTATATTTTTCTTTTATTTTCCAGAAAATGCGTCTTTACCGCATAAATGTACAATGAATAATTTATTAAAAAATTAAGATATATTTTTACTTATTTTAACGGTACAAAAACGTGAAGCAAATATTTAATGATAATAGTACGAAAAAACTTATCAGCTTTATATTAGATAAACATTTAAACACTTGAAAAATGCTTATGTAATATTAATGCTCTTATACATATTTTTCTCACGTTCTTTTTGCATATAAACTTACTTGAAGACTCCGAGATTTGTACAGCTCCATACCACGGCGTATGACTTGTAATCCGTGTCTAGAACCCAATAAGGTGCATCGAACGGCAATGGCAAGGATGGAAAAGTGACGGACAATTTAGGGTCATCGGATCTGCCAATTAACCTTCCAATGCCCTCGATACTCGTTGCGACTCCAGTTCTACGCAAGAGAACAGAGATCTTTACTCCAAGTGGATAATTGTCAGCGATTATGACATCACTCTATCTCGTATCGCATTCTATCTTTCTCGCTTTTAATAGTTTAAAATTACTCTACGAGTTGGGTAACGTTGCGTGCTATACTCACAATGAGGAAATTTGTTTATTGGTGATCTTCACCGTGTCATTCTCAAGACCGTATTGAGCTGTCACACATTTTCCACCAAATTCAAACCACGCAAAATACCTCTCCACTTCGTACCATTTGCCCAAATACTAGAAAAAGAAAGATATTTATAGTATATGTACTTTTAATTTGAATACGCAAGAGATATGTTTTAAGACATAAACATTATTTGACTTTATAAGTTACGTATAATTATAAGTCAAAATAATATTTCGATTCTTTATTAAGTTAGAGATTTAGACAGAGATGATTAATAGCTATAATTTCATTTATGAAGAAAACAACTTTTTATAATCTTATATACATAATAATAGATTTAAAAAATTACTCAGAGTAATTATATACGTATTGTACATTCCGGATCATTCACATGAATTATCCTGATACTCACTCTGTCAAGTTCGAAATTTTGCATTGCTTCCAAATTTGGACACGTACCCAAGAATGGCACCTGCGCCATCGCTGCATTCGCGATGATAACGATTACAAATATCCGCAACATATTTTTCTCTAAAAAAAAAAGAACGCATAAAGTATCAATTTCAAATATGTAGAATATGTCAAATTTTATAACACAGAATTTCGATATACAATAATCACTTTATCGATTATACAAAATGAAATTTAATAGTATTTGGAGAAATCATACACTGAGAAAAAAATTTTCTACATTTTAGTAAATATTAGTTTACATACAA